ATTGTATACAGATGTATAATCTAGAACTGTTTCTATACAAAAATTACTATTGAGATTAACTGCTTTGCAAAGACTGAACATTTGGTTGTCAGACTTCCTCTCTTCTATAATGTCTTATTACTTTAGCAGTCCTGTATGTATATCAATTGTGTAGTTCTCAATATTCCTTTATTTTATGGTGGAACTATGTTAGGGTCCCCCATGACTATAGGTCAATAGCGTTGAAGTGGGGTAACAACTGACATTACAGTACTTTGGTTATTTCCATCAGTGCTGCAGCAACCAGCACAGTTGGTTGTTTTTCCAGTGGTACCAGTAACAGTCTGAACAGTCAATACATAGGGACCAGACAAAGACAGCTGGGCTGAACTGTTCTGAATGGTCAGTGCAAAGAGGTATTTTATCCCAAACACCAAGGACACTGCATAATACATAATTTTCAATCTTTCATTCTTCTGATCAATCAGTGAATGTTTTGAGACCAAAAACAAACTAACAGCTGAGCAATTAAATAATATACTTGCAAGGACAAAGGCTGTAGTTGCACTGACAGAATACTGTACTAATACAAACTACATTGATATCACAACAAAAAAGAAGAAAATAGAGATGAACAAATAGTATTTAGTGTGAAGCATTTACTGCTAACAGGTAGCGGCAGTCAAAATGGGAAACAAAGTTAGTAATTATGAACCAGTATAATGAGAGATTAAAAGCAGACCATAAATATGAGATGGCGGTTATAATAGAAATTGTTGACTGCTGAAAGTGCCCAAGATCAGCAAGATCTGTTAGACATTGTATTAGTAGAGAGAGTAAAAGAAGACATTCCTTGAATATTAGAAATGGTTATTACAAAAAAAAAAAAAAAAAAAAAAACAAGAGAACTCCATTAAATGATATAAAAAAAAAAAAAAAAGAGAGAACACTGTAAAGAAAAGGAAAGACACCAACCAAGCCAGTAAATTTAAATATTTGAGAACTTCCCTTGTGGGCTGCAGGGCCCCATTTAGTGGAAAAAAAAAGGGGGGGGGGGTGAAGGGAGAATAGACCCACTTAAAAAAATGTAGTTCTCTGTCCTTTACAGGTCATTGCAGGTCCAACCCCAGCATTTTGTGGCTGTTTGGTTTTATTAGGCAATTGTATGTTCAGTAATTTGCCATTCCTTTCTAAACAGTCAATTCTATTACCATTGTCAAAATCAATGCAAGATGATCTGCTGCCAAATCACCTGCAGCTGGAATTGGACCACATATTTAAGAATGATGAAGCACCATGCAATGCTGAAGCCACAAACTCTCTAGTGCAGACATACAGTGGCAACAAGAAGTAATTTTTACACAGAAACTACTTTTTCGACAGGTTAAACAAGATGTTAGAAAGGGATATATGTTACCTAATACACAGGACATATATATCCTGTACAGTGAAACAAGATCAATACAGGGTATGCCAGGAATATCAGTTAATGGGCATAATTTAAACAATCTGCAATGATAGTTTTTATGATTTAAAATGAAATACAGCTGTTAGAAAATTATGCACATAACTAAAAGAAACTCAAAATAAGTCATCATTTGAACAGTGGAAACACAGAATTAATAGTAATTAAAAAATGTGCCCTCCAAATCGGAGTATGAATGAAATTGAAAGGGACAAGACTAAAGCAAAATAATATGTTTGAGTACTTTTTTAAATGTCCATTCCTGCTACTTTTCCCAAACACACATGCATGCACAGACTTGAACTTAGTCATATGTTATTTTCTTCTCCTCCTCCTTCTTTTTCTGCTGAGTCCTCTTCTTTTCCGTCTTCTTCATCTTTTTTGTCTTCTCCTCTTTCTTCATCTTCTTTGTCTTCTCCTCCTCTTTCTTCTCCTCCTCCTCTTTCTTCATCTTCTTTGTCTCCTTCTCCTCCCTCCTACTTCTTCACCTTCCTCCTCTTCTTCTTCCTCATCCTCCTCCTTGTCCTCCTCCTTTTTCTTCTTCTTCTTCCTCCTCCTCCTTGTCCTCCTCCTCCTTCTTCTTTTTCTTCTTCTTCTTTTTCTTCTTCTTCTTCTTCATGTTTACCGGCTGTAAACTCCAGCAGAAAGTTCTGGTTGTTTGTCCACCTCAGAACCTGAGTGTTGTGTACACATCTGTTTTACAGATTTGACTTATGTGTTTGCAGATTGTTCAGAAGGCAGTGGGTCTGTTCTTGTTTTCCCTGACAATGGGGCCCTGGAACCCACACAGGGCTCATATATTTTTTTTAAAGACCCAAAACCCTGACTGATACCCCACAGCCCACTTTAAGAAGTAAAAGCTTTATTATCAAAGCTGGGAGTACTTTGTATTTAGTTGTCTGATTTATCGTAGGGACAGGTCTGCTGCTTAGATTAACATAAATAGACATTTTTTGCTCACCATGGCTTTTGCGACTATAATTTATGTGCATTTGATTTACTATGTGTCTTTGATCATCGTGTTTCCCCTCCCATGGCAGCATTAAAATTCATCTCTTTTCTCATTACAATTCATCAGACACCTTTATTTCATACAATTTTGCCTGATTAATTTGCATTTACAAAAGTTTCTTCGGCTTGGCTCCAAACCTCAGTACAGTTTTTTTTTAGTATCTGTGTGACTTTTATGATGCGATAGCTCTTGAGCACATTTACATTTTACTGATGTTTTTCCTAAGTCTACTGATATCAGGATTCCTGAAAAAAAAAATAACTTCCCAAAACCTTCATTTTCTTTTTGCCTTTATTTCCCAATGGAAAAAAGCTCGTCCTGTCCTTTGTTATCACACACAGTTCAGCCCCTGTCCTCCCCATCTTCCTAACCTGACTCTCTAGCTCCCTAGTTTTGTGTTTGTTTTGGGTCTGCCTTTATTGTGATGCTTCTGTGTATTCCAGTATTTAGAATTCTGGTATCATAACTTATCATAAACCAAAACATATGTGGTAAGGGGCCACGTTAGCGCAGTCGATAAGAGGCTCTCTTTCAAATCCAGCTGCCACTCGCTGCAGCCCATGGTCAGTGTTCGAAACCGGGCGGCTCCCGGGGTTCACCCAGCCTCTAGGAAATGGGTTCCAGAGTGATTCTCTGGGGTAAATGGAGGAACATCGCTGTAGCTACAGAGTTACGTGTGAACGGCATCACAGGCGGACAGTTTCTTATCAGCTGTCCGTACTGGTGGCAGAGCACTTATGGTTTATAACCGTGTGCAATGACGCTGGTTCACATCTCCCGACTTTACCTTTTTTACCTTTAAATGTGGTGTAATAATTATAGAAATACGACTAAGCTCAGATTTATGCACCGTATATACTTTGATTTATATCAAGCACCACAACAGATTGGAAAAAATTATAGCAGAAAGCATGGTATCAGGTAGGAGGGACAGGTGCTGACCGACACAAAGATCGGCACAGGATATAAGTGACTCCTTGAGTAGGAAAGAACATGAGGCGTGAGAGCTGTTGAGAGACTGAGTTTCTTTCAGGCAGATTGTGATGAGAGCGACGTTCTGCAAAGGACCTGCTACATGATAAGGACTGTCCGTGCCAGTCAGCAAGGCAATTGATGATAATGAAAGTCTTCACAGCCAAAAAAAAAAAAAGTTGAGTTGAGGTGAGTTGATTCAAGAACCGACATCACAGCACTCGGGGCATTTCCATAAGCGCTCTGTCCCCATCTTCAGCAGCCAGCGAAGAGTTCCGATACTAATGGTGCAAGTAGCATTCTGATCAAATGTCTATCTTGCCTTTCCTCTGAGCCTGAACCTCTCCTCGCTGCATCAATCTCACCAGACTGTGGTGATCCATCTGCGCCCCCCCCCCCCCCCCCCCCCCAACTGTACATGCTCTCCCACAAGGCACTCACCACGTCTGTGGAAAAAACAATTTATTTACAGTTGCCTAAACTCCCTACATGTTATGATTGTAACTGATCTACAAATAGAAATCTCTACACGTCAGCCCAGCTGGCTCCATGTTTGTGGATTAGATAGGACTGATGCAACAGCTGTCATCTTGCCATTATTTCTCTTTACAGCAAATGAGTGCATTATTAGGGATCTTTCCACACTGCTGCACAAAGAAAAAGATAATAATACAATAGTAAAGTGCTTAGCCGAGCCAGTAAGTGCAAATGTTTCTGTGATATCACATCATATGAAAGATGCACGATAGAGAGTAAGAGCAGAAGAGGCCTAGCAACATTTAGAACATGAAGACTCCCGTATGTATTCTGGGGCCCCATTTTGGGGGAAGAAAAAAAGAAGACTTTTGCAACAACAACCCCTCCTGTGTGTGATGTGGTCAACATCACACTAGCTGCCTTTACTTCCCAGGACCTTACCTGGTACCCATTTAAGGCTTTGTTGACCTGGCAGCCAAGGTAATGTTTTTAACATTTGTTTTGGCTCCATCAGGGATTTGAACCCATGACTTTCAGATCCACACTCTATCCTCTACACAACACCTGCTCTCTCTTTAGGGGATGAGAGACATGAAAAATAATGTGTCTGGCGCTAGGAAAATTAACCATGAGTAATAGTTAAAGCATAGCAATAACTGACAGAAAATATTTATTCACATTTTTGCATAGCTTTTATCTCTGAATGAAACATAGACTCTCAACCAAATCATAGGTTTAAAGGTTTAAACAACAGATCAACATCATGGCACTAGGGTAGCAACACATAAGTGCTCCGTTTTACTTCTAACTCAAGTCTGAGTCTGAAGATTCTCAGAGCAGTTCACAAACTCTGTATCACCGGCAAGGATCCTGAAATACTTTGGGTAGATTTTCAACTCTAAATTTTGTCCATACAGTGCCGTTGGCTACTCTTTTCAATTTCCAATGCCAAGGGATTTTTTTTAACATGCGCAGTAATACATAAGGATGTCCGATCTTACTCCCCTTCCACTCAGAAGTTCTTTTGTAGAAAGTCTTACATACAGTTTGGTCCGGTTGCATTGGAAAAGCTTATTGACATGTCATTTCTTACAGGTGAAGGTTGTAACAAACAAATCACCATGGGAACAGCTGATGACTTGCAAGCAGCACAAACAGGAACACTTGAAGTTTTTCTGTGAGAAATGTGAGACTTTGACTTGCCGGGACTGCCAGCTTATGGACCATAAAGAACATAAATACCAGTTTTTGGACCAGGTAGGTTGTTTATGAAAGAGAGACATTGTTTTCCTGCACTTCTCTCATGCTGCCATATGTTCATTTGACTTTTTTCATTGATATCCCAAGTTCAAGTTTTATAACTTTTCTGGCATTTGTCGCCGAAGCTATGGAATTATGGTTTGTGTTTCACTCTCAGCTATCCACTGTGGGTGAGAGACTGAGATATTACATAGGAATAAATTATGGTGCAATGAAGTTGTCGCTGTCACTTAAATATTTGTTTGTTGCCTTTCCTTTGCACAAAAGCTTATTTAAAAAAAAAAGACTCATGTAGGTAACTTCGCCAGTTGATTATTGTGATTAACATCTGCAGAACTCCCCCCCCCCCCCCCCCGGCCAGTCCTAAGGCCAGATGAAAAAGGAGGAGGGTTGGGCATGGGGCCAGAAACCCCACTGTGTAAAAAACAAATGTAATGTAGAAATTTGCAGAATAGGGATCAGTTCTGGCAGACTATACAGTTGAATGGAGGATTAGATTGTGAGCCTATTTTGATGCATAACAGCACAACAGGATGATAATGGTAGTATTTTATTTTAAGGTTACTTTTAAACCAAGAATCCCAAGCATCCAATTCCACATTAGATAAACATTTATTATGCACTATGTCCAAATAACAGTGCATGTGGTGGTTTGCATTAACAGCTTTTTGGCACAAATGCAGCAAACAAATTAAAATAAAGATGTTGATAAAATTAATCTTTCCTGTTGTAGCCTATAAATGTAATTCATGGACAATTTCACAATCAGTAAACAATAAACATGTGGGTATTTGAACTTAAATGAAAAAAATGCTTCTTCTTCTTCTGCTGCTGCTACTGCTCCTCTTTTGTAATTCACCCAGCAACCTCTAAAGTTTTATTTCATCTGGTATTTCTCTTGGCCGAAAGTGAAATATTTATTAAAACCATGTATTAAGGAAAAGAACATAAGTGACATTTGACAGAATCTAAACATCGAAGTTCATAAATCTAAAATACTTTATTTAGCCACAAGGGTTTAGAAAGAACAATACTGGAAGGCATAAATCTTCTGCTGTGAATTACAGATGGGTAGAAGATGTCATGGTTGGCCTCTACTAAAATATAAAGATGTGTGCAAGCAGGGCATAAATCTTACTGGTATTGAGGTGGATCCATGGGAACATACTTCTGTGGACCGTATTACATAGAGGGAAAAATCTAGAAAGGTAATAGGAATAAAGAAGACAAATTATTGGAGAAAGGTTAGGAGCCAAGGATCTGAGGAGAAGTACATTAAATACATACAATGGCAGTAGTGGTCCTGAAATTCCATGCTCTAATTGTGGAAGACTTTTCTTAACATGAGCTGGTCTTACTTGTCACACGAGCTGGTCTCACTTGTCACACAAACTGGTCTCACTTGTCACATGAGCTGGTTTCACTTGTCACACAAACTGGTCTCACTTGTCACATGAGCTGGTTTCACTTGTCACACAAGCTGGTGTTACTTGTCACACAAACTGGTCTCACTTGTCACATGAGCTGGTTTCACTTGTCACACAAGCTGGTGTTACTTGTCACACAAACTGGTCTCACTTGTCACACAAACTGGTCTCACTTGTCACATGAGCTGGTTTCACTTGTCACACAAACTGGTCTCACTTGTCACATGAGCTGGTTTCACTTGTCACACAAACTGGTTTCACTTGTCACATGAGCTGGTTTCACTTGTCACACAAGCTGGTGTTACTTGTCACACAAACTGGTCTCACTTGTCACACAAACTGGTCTCACTTGTCACACAAACTGGTCTCACTTGTCACATGAGCTGGTTTCACTTGTCACACGAGCTGGTCTCACTTGTCACATGAGCTGGTTTCACTTGTCACACAAACTGGTTTCACTTGTCACATGAGCTGGTTTCACTTGTCACACAAGCTGGTGTTACTTGTCACACAAACTGGTCTCACTTGTCACACAAACTGGTCTCACTTGTCACACAAACTGGTTTCACTTGTCACACGAGCTGTTCTCACTTATCACACTTACATCGCCATAGCTTTGATTCTCATGCCTCTCTGTAGTACAATAAAACACTCTTATTCTTCTTTTCTCTACTCCTGACATCAAGGCAGGAAGAGATCTCTGGAGTGGGCCTTTCTGTTAACTTCTTATAAAGTTTTTGCCTCTGATATTTCTGTGGTCCATCTTCTATGTGGTTGACCTCTGGCTCTGTTGAGTCTGTATAACACTGCTCTCTGTGGTGCCCTGTCTGCCAATCTTGTTACATGGCCAAACCATTTGATTTGTTGTCTGCCTATAAAGTTCAGTATTGTTTCACAAACAAGAAATCCTTAAAGCTATCCACACTTTAAAGAACAACAAAGCACCAAGCAAAGACGAACTGCCAGCAGAACTTCTCAAAGTAGATCCCAACGCAACTGCTAGCATTCTAGAACCATTGTTCGAGGATATTTGGGAAAAAGAAGTGTTGCCTGATGACTGGACTGAAGGAACAATAGTCAAAATCCCCAAAAAAGGAGACTTAACAGACTGCAATAATTGGAGGGGAATTACTCTACTCTCAGTACCAAGCAAAATATTTTGTAAAATCATCATAATGCGGCTTGAAAAAAGAGTAGATAAATGCCTACGAGTGAAACAAGCAGGATTCAGAAAGGGCAGAGGAACAACTGAGCACATCTTCGCCAAGCGTAACATTTTAGAACAATGCAACGAATGGCAGAGAAGTATATATATTAATTTTGTGGACTTTGAGAAAGCTTTTGAAAGCGTCCATAGAGACGGTCTGTGGAAAATTTTACGACATTATGGAATTCCAGAAAAAATTGTCAACATAATTGCCCTCTTCTATAAAGACTTTTCCTGCAGTATAAAAAAATTACATCTTTCCCAGTAAAGAGGGGTGTAAGACAGGGATGTGTTATGTCATCTCTCCTCTTCAACCTTGTGATTGATTGGATACTAAAAAACACAGTAGACAGGACATTAAGAGGCATACGATGGACTCCATTCACCATGCTGAGAACCTTGATTTTGCAGATGATATAGCACTCCTATCACATAAACATGAACATGTACAAGAGAAAAGTAACAGACTACACTGCACAGCAGAAATGGTGGGACTGAGAATAAATACAAAGAAAACTAAGATCATGACAAACAGTCCAAACCAACAACCAGTGACCATAAGTAACCAATCACTTAAAAAATGTAGAACATTTCACATATCTTGGCAGTGTGGTGTCCCTACTGGGAGGGACAGAGGAAGACATACAGTCACGCCTGAACAAAGCTAGAGCTGCTTTTGGATGAGGCAAATCTGGAAATCCAACAATTACTGCAGAGGAACAAAACTCTGACTCTACAAGAGCATCATTTTGCCAGTTCTTTTTTATGGAGCGGAATGCTGGAGAATGACCAAAAAGGATGCACACAAGCTGTCCACCTTCCACCACACATGTCTACGTAGAATTATCAAAATTTTCTGGCCAGATACAATCTCAAACACTAAACTTCTTCAAGCCACAAACCAAGAAACTTTAGACAGTATGATTACCAAAAGAAGATGGAAATGGCTTGGCCACGTTATGAGAATGACTTCTAATATACCTGCCAAAACAGCTCTCACATGGACACCAGAGGGAAAGAGAAAACAGGGGCGCCCAAAAACAACATGGAGACGAACGATGGAAAGTGACCTGAGTGCAGCATCTTTGACATGGAAAACTGCACTGAAGAAAGCATGGAAAGTCCTCTCTGAAGCCTCATGTGCCACTAGGCATAACGAGAACTGATGATGATAATGGTTTACTCTAATCTGGAAAGACAGAATGGTGACAACTAGATGTTCCTAGAAGATGCAGGAATTAATCAACAAAGACATAGCACAAGACTTTGCAGGCAACTTACGTATGAAAATACAAAATGGCAAGGGTCCTAATGATTATCTGATGGAGTCAGAGTGATGTTCTGCAAATGACCTACTACAATTGCAATTTTTACAATTAACTGTTAATTCCCCAAAAGTTGTGTTTAGTTTTTTTGTGTGTCTGGTATCTGAGAACACAGTTCTAGTGCCACAGTAAAAATTGTGTTACTTTAGTATGTTTATGTACTGGGAAGGCTAACCGGGGCAACAAATGCCTGCACAAATTGGGTATGTTGGCAGATCAGCATAAATATTGCAGCCATGTTGTTAAAAAAAAAAACAGCGCGCAATTACATCTTTGAATGAAAGCAGAAGAAAGAAGAACATAGTCATTGATACAATGAGATCACTAGAATTTCTAGCATGCTGAATGTAAAACTGAATGGTACTTGTCTGAAGTATGATTAAAAAAACAAAGCATTAAGTACCTAGGAAGTACATTTTCAGAGGATAGCAGGATAGATCAGAAATCAGAAACAAAATGCCTAAGAGGCAGTAAAGTTTTGTACTGAAACTGCACAGGCTGTAGGAACAACACCTTGCTCCAAATTCATTGAAAATCAGATAAATAAATGGCTCAGCCATCTCTTTACAATGCAGCCACAACTACCAACACAGGCACATCTAAAAAGATTTGATGTGAAAGCAAGAGTGCCCAAGGATTAGATGGATTGATGACATCATTCAATCAGCCTGAACCAAGTGCTAGACACCATTTAGGCACAAGCTGTTGGAAAAGAAGTTATGAGACATTATATATCTGTACAGAATGACAGTAGCTGGTGCAACTCATTGAGCATTGTCTGAAAACTGTTCTCATCTTGACCATGATTAATGGCAGAAGGTGAAGTTGACGGTGAAACAATTTTACTGTTTTCTCGTAGACATTTTGATAAACTAATTCTTGTTTTTTTTATTATTCCTAGGCAGCAGAACAATACAAAGCCAGGTTGAAAGGCAGTTTAGCACTCATGGGAGAGAAGCGGACCAAACTGGCTACAAATCGAGATGAAATCGAACAGAAACTACATAACTGCAAAGAACAGAAGGATACACTTCAACAAGACATACTGAAACAAGCAGACATTCTGGTCAAAGGTGTTAGACAGGTAAGACACATGCAAACAAGACACTGTATATCCCAGTTTTAGCAGGGTTGAAAAGGATATTATTTATGTAAATACAATTACACTGTCACACTTTGGTAAATATGATCATTTTGACATGACATACAACAAAATACAGTGCTTAAGGCTATCTCGGATGCGACAAATTTCTGTTCTGAAGAACAATTTTTTTTTATCCTTGGGAATCTTTCTTGTTTGAAATCTTAAATAGATTGAGGCATTTCTCATAAGAATAAAAACCATTTCTTGGGTCCCTGGTTGACTTTCCTCATCAGGTCTGCATTGTATTTCTTACCAGGGATTCTGGCAATTAAATGCCACTACTTTATGATGCAGCATAACTGAGTGCTTTGCCATCTTGTCTTAGCAAAATTTGGAAGCAGTACAGAACAGTCAGATACATGATGCTCTTTAGGAAAATAAATTCCAGATCAAGGCAGCCACTGGAACACTTTCCACCCAGAACACAATCCTGAAGATCCAGTCAACCTTCTCAGATGAAAGACACAGACTACTGTGTTTAAGATTGCAAACTGGAGATAACAAACTCCACAGCCATATGTTTAAAGAATTCAAGACTCAGAACTGTGCCTGTGTGGACAGCCAGCATAGAATACTGAACATATGCTGCAGACATGCTCTCTACAGTAGAGAGATCCCAATGCTGGGCAGTTGGTGTTCCAGTAGAGATGGAGTTGTATAGATCAGTGGAAGACATGCATTGCACCAAAAACTTCATAGAGGAATTCTTGTCTGAAAATCACTGGCAGGGAGAATACAAAAAAAAATTAAAAGGGCAAAAAATAGTGCAGTGAGTATGTTAAAACATGGTAGATCTCTAATAGTCAGCAATCAGTGATTTGACCATTTATTTTTTGGGTTCCAAAGTTAACTTTGTTGACTCAGCAAATAATTTTGTGCTGTAAATTAAGGAATAGGATCCTCAACTAGATTTGAACAGATCATGGATTAGCCAGCTTGTTAGGGAATCATCAGTTATTAATTTAAACTTTCATATTTTGTTTATTAAAGCTGAAGCTAGCCTTTTGCTGGCTGTTTTTTTTCCAAAGGTTTAAACTTATATGCTTGTTATTTTATTTACTAACTCAGGCGGTTTGGGGAGTCCTGTCAAACTTAGCTTCATTCACTGATGCTGCATCCAAGCGCCTGAACAAAGAAATAGATGATGTGTCTGACCTGATTGGTAAATTTGATCACTGCATCCAGTTCATGGAGGACATTCTGAAAGATGGCTCAAGCATGTCTTTGCTCTATTCCAAAGGCAATGTGGAAACAAAGTGCCGCAAGGTGTACCATACACAGGTGAGTTACTGATTATTTCATCAGTTGGAAAAAAAAAGTAGTGGGGTGGGCACTTTGAGCCGTTAAACAAAAATTTGGCTGGGGAGTCAATAGAACTAAGCTTATTCCTTTTCTTGGTCAGATATGGTTAAAATAATACCTTTCTGTTGCTTAACCCTACCACACCTGAGGCCCTGAACCTAACTGTCCCTATAACCTGAGCTCCTGGGCACTAACATGAAAAAACCAACATTATGTAAACAAAAATTAGTTGCATGCAAACAAGTGGTTAGAATAAGATAAAACTTGAAGACATTGTAGAAAATAGGTTTACCTTTCATCTAGTGCCAATCTTCCACCTTTGTGTGCCAATCCACCTAGTAGGATCAGTCTTGTTTCACAAAGTAAGCACCATATGTTGCTGTTTGAGGGACACACCCTTACTATTGATCTAGTCTTTATAATTCTCCTCCTCACTCTAGCTCTCACTGACTGTGTCACTTCAACTTGGAACGTATTCTTTATGAACGTATTCACAGTCTGAATTAACCAAAGTATCGATCACTTGTTGGACTGTGAAAAGCCAGGCCTACGACACTTTCTTGTCGAAGCCGCTCGTTTCATTGAGAATTTTCCAAATTTTTTTCACTTCAAACCACAAAAAGAAATCTCAACACACTTGGGAAGTCATTCTCAATGACTAACAACAAAGTCTGATGGCGATTGGCTGGTTATTTTTAGTCTCTGACGCATATTTTTCACGTACTGCGTAAATTCCCAGAAAATGTGGTCAGCGGTATAGCGGCTGGTTAGGAAATTCCTGGAAAATCGGGCCAGCGGTCTGGTAGGGTTAAGCAGTGGAAATAATATAAAGTCTGTGCTGCATGTGCAAGTAAAACAAAGGTGATCTCATTGCAGAGAAAGAAGTTTAATAGAAATTTGTGGCACACAGTGGAATTAACTGTTTTAACCCTTTCGCTGCTACATTCCTGACCGTAGCTGTCTGCCCTGTGCTAAGCAATGTGGGAAAAAAAAAGTCTCTGCTGTGCGCAATACTTTTCTATCCTCCAAATGCAAAAAATGCATCGGCGGTGAGGGCTATATTTTGTACACCTCAAAATGTTTACCCTGGGGAGTGTGGTTGGCTCGAGTGGTGACAAGTAAAAGGCACGATGGTGCCCCACAAACTTAACCAACGAAGCTACCACCCCACTGGGAGTGGGGAATTAATGGGAAGAACTGTTCCCAGTCCCTATCCCAAAATTTTATTGACGAACCTACCACGGCTCCCACTTTAATCATAGTTAATTACAGTCACCATGTTATTACATTAAAAAAAAAATACTTGAGTCATCCGTTGCTGAAAAGTAGCAAGAACTGATAGGAAAATTTACAATAATAAAAAAAAAAAAAAACTACATTGGGGGTTGAGCACACGACCTTCTGATTCTAAGGCGAACATGATTCCAACTACACTAGACTATCTCTTGACGCAAAGTACTGTTTGAAAGATGATTCTCCTTTGTAAAGAAGTAGTGATTCATCTACAACCACATCCTGATAAAGTGAAAATGCACCCCAAAACGATTTGCGCAGACTATCAATATTGTGTCTAATTGTGTACAGCCTATCGCCGCCTGCATTAGCACTGTTGTCTGAGAAATGTAACATTCTCAACAATAGTAAAAATCTTTCCCTCGACGTTATTTCACTAAACACGGGAGTTTTTAGCAAACAATCTTTGCTCCAGTACTCATTTTGAGTTTCTTTGTTCTAAGCATTAGCAGACAGAGCAGAAAAACAAAAAAAAGTTCATCCACATCTGTGTCTGTCCATCGGGAAAGACGCAAACTTGTAGTGGCAGGTGCCTTTTCAATTACTTCCTTGCAGAACCTATTAGTTTCTGCAGTGAAAAAAAAAAAATCAAGCACTGAACTGTTTGAATTGTCAGTAGCAGAAATACAGCCAATGCTGGAGTCATCAAAATTATGCACTACTGGTATCAATCCAATGGTTGATCAAGACAACTGTTCAATTTTGTGTCGTTTTTATGGCGCTTCATTGGAGGACGTCAGACAGGCAAACAGCTTTTTCTTGGACACGCCGGTTTGAGCCGTCTATATTGATGGCCTAGTCAAATCTTCTTGTTCACTGTCAGAATTACACATTTCAATTCAAAGTCATCTTTGCTATCACTTCTTGACAGAAACGCCATCAATTCTTCATCAAATTTAACAAGTTTTCTTGTCATTTAGCACTAACGAAGTGTAGAATAATCCAAACCCACAAATATATATCAGGGCACAAAATACACAGATCACCGACCTTGCTGTCAAGATAAACAAAGCAATGGGATAACGCAGAATGCAGTAAACATACCTTCCTTAAACACACCTAAATGCACGTGCCAGTGCTTTTAATCATATGTGAATGGGTCAGTTGAATCTAAAGATAGCTAATGTATATTGCCCTTTGGCCCCTGAAACAAGATGTCACAGAAATCTGTAAGGAAAGTCCAAAAATGGATTGAGACGTCCATAGCACTGGGGGGTCAAGAAAAATATAACGTCCAAAGACGGGCGTAGCAGCGTACGGGAAAACGGGAAAGGACATTAATAACGGTGAAAGGGTTAAGGCAGATATTATTTAACTTACCATGTTCCCGGAAGTTTTTACTCTAACTAATAAATTATCAGAGAGAAGCAGATCATGTAAGAACTGAAGAAATGTAGGTTAGTCTAACAACTAGATATTGTGACAAGATATTGAACCAGATGAACAGTAGAACCAGTCAGTTTTACAGCATCACAAACACAAACAAATGAATGTTGCGGCTAGAGAGACTTCATCAGCATGTTACAAAAGTCTACAAGAATACACAAAATCACTTAAAACTCACATATCTCCAAATGAAATCGCATTTCTGCCTGGACAGTGGAATGTTTTGACATTTGGGTAGATTGGAGGTGAGGTGGGGAGGGGGGGGGGGGGACCCTCAAGGAACATAGAAATTTAAAAACATCTTAATTTTAGTGCTCATTAACTGTAACGCCTTCAGCGTTTCCCGTTTCAGTACTTCTTGTACACAGGTGCCTGCGTTGCCTCTGAGAGACTCACAACAAAGTTGATATGTGGTGAGCAAACAACGAACGAAGCCATCTCATAACGCTCCACAACAAAGGACAGACCTTGCGACCCGCCACTGCATGAATGGGAAGGAGAACTCTCGTTGCTGCTGAAGATGGGGACACAGTGCTTATGGAAGGGTCCTGAGTGCTATGATATTTGTTCTAAGCTCATGACTTTTATTGATATTCAGAGTGCATCTATAGGTCAGTGGGCTGATGAATCAGGAGTATTAATAGAGGGGACACATTTATCATTTGGGAGCTGCTGTACTCTAGTGGCCAAATGCTTGCCTTTGGATCGGAAGGTGGTGGGTTTACATCCTGACGGGGACCGGACATTTAAAAAAACTGACCTTGGCTTCCAGTCGACCCAGCCTTAAGTTGGTACCAGGTACAATCCTGGAAAGTAAAGGTGGCCAGAGTGAAGCTGGCCACATTGCCCCCCACCCCGTATCCCCATATATAGGTCTAGCCCTGTATACCCAATACACCTGAAGGCATGAAAAAAGGTTCTTTACTGTTACTTTACTATAATTTGTAGCCAATGTTTCTGATGATTAAATCAGTTTAAATGGTTACGACTTAACTAATTGCTTTGTTTTATTTTGTAGGTGGACCCTCAGTCACTAAAAGGAACATTATCAATTGTATACAAGCACGATGTCAAATGGCTTCTGGGAAACCTTAATAAAATTGGAGCCATTTATGTCAATGGAGTACGATATCCTCCTGAAAAAAATGGAGGTCAGGGTTCACGACAGAGTCCAGCTTGTGGATATCAAGACCCCAGGTCTGCTGGTGCAGGGTTTACCGCGACGAGTCCTCATTTACAGCATATGGCTAATCAGGTACTTTTGCTTTTGAGTTTGCCATTCATTTTTTCATATTATCATTTAAATATAACATGCTTTATTGATAAAATACAACTGCTGTGTGAAAGACGGGTGTTTGGAAGGGCCGAATGTAAGATGGGCCTGCGTGCCCAATTTATGACCCTTTGAAAATAAAATTCATTCTTTCTTGTCAGTCAGGTAATGGCAGTTCCTACTTCTTAGCAAAGGGCTCGCCCCATAGTTGGTCCATTCCTCTGCCAACGTAGACCACACAGACTGTAGTCTCAGTAATGCTAAAAGGGTGCACACACACATTAAATGCCTAAAGCAGCCATCATATGTGCCAACACAGTTATGCACATTATATATATCAGTCATCCCCATGTGGGATGCAATTTTTCATTATTTATTAGGGGCCCTGAATATAGCCAGGGCATAAATATGGCCTAGCCATAGATATGGCCTAACGGCTGAAAGGAGTTTCTGGGACCTCTCCATGGGTGATCCTCATCTGCATGGTGGCACTTTGTGTAACCAAGTGTTTATCGCTTGTGTGATGTCTTGGTGGAGTAAAGTCAGTCAGTCAGTTTTGCACTAGCACTATTCATTATTTTTTTTAAAAATCCCATGGAACATCTGACAAAAATACAATTTTTGGATACTGAGTAGCCATGTGGTCCTTAAAACCCCAGGATCCCCCTTTCTCGTCCTACACCAGCCAAAATTTTGATATATACAGGCAGTAAATATTTTTTTTAAACTGCTGCTTTGCTGAAAACATGATTGGCCACGTTCAACCAGCATCCCTGAAGGGGGAGCCTAATGTTATAATTGTGACTAGGTTATGTGCACTATATAAAATGGCACAGCATTGCTCGCCACCAAGAGCCCTGAAAAGGACTCCTGCTATGTTGATGCGATCAAAGAGACAAACCCAAATGCGCTCCGATGGGACTCTAAAGTTTACCCAGCCTCATACAGATGGTTAACATATCATTTTTACAATTTGCTGGGAATTGTCTTGCAACAAACCTGTGGGTTCTGGGACCACATCCTAGGGGAATTAAGAGTAGACCCACAGCCTCCCTATCAAACAAGTATATTGCACAAGATGATGAAAGGTGCCAATAAATATTATCATGATAATTGTCTTTGTACATTGGGCATTTTCGTGCTGCATGCTCAGTCCTCCAATGCAGCAGTCAATCCAAGGTACCTTTACTGATTGTTCCCATGAGAAGTTGTTTATAGTATCTCCTGTCTTTACCTCAAAAAATGGAAAAGAAATGTTTTCTAAGCAGAACTCCTCAGTCACTCAGTCATGTTATCGTCACAGATCCCCAAACCTTATCCATACAGCATCAACATATGAGCTCTGTCCCTGTTTCTTCCCATTTGCATTGGTGCATTACTTACCAGATGGTCAACTCTTTCATTACCATTTACTCCTGCATGCCCAGGTGTATAGATCCAGATGGTGGAGGTTAACTGTGACTTCCGAATGCTTTCTACACATTCGGAGCATAGACTACCTGGAGTGATTTTTCTGAATTTATTATGAAGTAGCGCTTTCTAAGCAGACTGTCAGAGCCTACTTCTTTAAACAGTGTCTATTCACCTGTGCTAGAACAAATATAAGTGACTGAAGTAAAACTTTGACATAAGCTGTATTCTTTGTTTCACATGAGTTAACTTCTGGTTGGCAATCTGTGTTCCAGAATATTCCTGGTCATCGAGTTCCATCTGATTGGACAAAATTCATCCAAACAGTGTCCAAATCTTCAGGCCAGAATCATGGCCCTCCGAATATCACTATGTCTCCTTTAAGCACCACAGCCACTTTACCTCCTCAGCTGACACTGCCATCTAACAGACGAGCACAGGGAAACATAATGGTTCAAAATTGGCAAGGTAAGGAGTTGCTTTTATTGTATAAGTCTTAACTCTTTCAGTCCCAGAAATTACCCATGTGGGTTCCAGGGCCCTATTATAGGAAAAACAAGAATAAACCCACTACCCAAAAGCATGTTGTAAGAGTCGACTAATTGGGAGCTTCCTTCAAAGTCGGAGTGCATCTGCCTGAGAGGCAAGAAACCAGAAGTCTGTATACAAATGAGCCAGATCTGTAAAATGGATGCACACGCAACACTCAGGTTCTGGAACAGGACTGCAGTCCAGAAGTGGACAAACAACCAGAACTTTCCGCGGGAGTTTACAGCTGGTGAACACGAAGGAGTCCCAGAAATTTTCACAATAAAGGAGAGAAATTACCAGTATAAAAAAAATAATGAGTACAAAACCTTCAAAGAGGCAAGTGGAAATTCCAGATTTCTTTAGTATTTTATGACCAAATGCAAAATAGTAACAGAACATATGGCTTAATGTTGGGATTCATGAAACGTGTTTACCACACACAATGCGCTACTTGCTACTTAAAGAGTTAACCATAATTTCAGATGGTAAAGTTTCCAGGGTTTATTTCAAAATCGCCGTAGTCTGCATTTTCATATTGCAAAGGGATTCAGAGGTCCTGAACCACACATGGCAGTGCAGCAGGACCAGGCTAGTAGTGGTCAAGACCTGTCTACACCTTTCTGCGGAAGTGATCGATCGTTATTTCCTTTGAGTGCATCTGCTTGAGACGCAAGGCACCAACAGACTGCACAAAAATAAGCCAGGTGTGTAAAACATATGTGCACCCAAGACTCTAGTCCTAGAACGAGACCAAAGTCTAGAAGTGGACAAACAACCAGGACTTTTAGGCTGAAGTTTATAGCCAGTAAACCTGAAGTGGAAGAAGAGGAAAATATTGTATATAATATGTTAACAGCTAGAAAGCTGTGGGCACAAATATTTAAAAAAATAATTTTTTAAAACGATTTAACATAGGAACTTACAGCATATTTCTTTCTTATCTTTCAATCAACTATGTTTAAGTCATTTGTATACAAGTTCAAATTTAGTTGAATTTGATAGCTGTATGGTGCAGGAACTTGGGCAGAGGTGACAGACAGTTTGTATAAAACAATTTCATCAGTTCTTGTTTATCTTCTACTCGTATGATGTCTTCATTGTGCATGTTTTTTGAGGTGTCAGCTAACTCCTCTCTAACTGCATCCCTGATGTCTACATCATTATGATCTGTCTGAGCTATAAACCTATGGAGAAAAGCCTCCTCTTTCTCCTTGTCACACGCACACCATTGTCTCTATAGATTGTTACCACTGCCATAGGCCAATCTTTCCTTTGCATCTGCCTTTGTGGTTTCCAGAATTTTCCCAATGTTTTATCGCCTATCATATCATTCACAAAAGTTTCCCACTTTGCTCTTTTGGCCTGTGCAGTACAGCGCTTAAAAACCTCCACCTGATCTTTTTTCATATTCTCCGCCACCTTCACTTCCTCTTGTATGCTTGAGGGTGTCTGTCATACTTTCTTTAGCTGCTTCACTGCAGCTTTCCTTGCCTTCCACGCCTGTTCTACTTTTGGAGTCCACCATGGGGCTGTAGAAAATTAGTTCTGGCAATTCTATTGCATGCTTCCTTTCTGAGGCGTCCAAGTAGGTTGTTGGTCCACTTATACTGGAAGGTCTTGCGTGCTCTAACAGCCTTAACCTTACTGGGTTTCGAAATCATGACTGAACATGGTAGGTGATCACTCCCATGGTAATTCAGGACAGTCCATTTAACATCTAAAACCAACGACTGGGAGACAAATGTCAAGTCAATGGCTGTGTCTGCATTGCCAGACCTCATTGCCATCCTAGTCAGCCTCCCATCATTGATGCAGACCATATCGTAGTCAACCATGGCCTCTGCAAGAGCAATTCCCTGTCGGTTTTTTCCACTGCTGTCCCATTTTCTGTTCCTCGCGTTGAAATCCCCACATTTGAGTAACCTATCACCTGGTAGCTCCTCCAATTCCTTGAGCCAGCCCCATTGTTCCCCTTTAAAAAAACAGTCTACCGTGGCATAAATATTTATGAGGTTGCAACATAAACCACCAATCTCCACCTGTATCCCTTGAGCCTCTCTTCCGCTGTGGTTCCCCTGGCTCAAGTCAAGCAGCACATGCTTCACTCCTTCCTTTACCACCAGTCCTTGTCCATGTCTCTTCTGTCCAACAGGGTTTATATAACTGACAAACCCAGGGCAATGATTTATGTCTTTATTTAACTCCTGGAGCATGATAACATCAAAATAAAAAATCAGCCTCTCCAGTACAGGACCTCTCTCCCTAGCACTCTGACAGTTCCAATATCCTACTCTTACATGATTGAAGCCCAATCTCTCTGCTTTTCGCCTTGTTCTCCTAGGACCCGCTCTCCTATTTCTATGCCTTCTTCTCTCCCCATTCCCTCGTCGTCTCCTCCTCACTCCCTCTTCACGAACTGCTGACAAATGTGTCAAGCGCTGAGCACGTGCCCCGTAGCTCCAGCGATGATTCCTATATATATTTTTAAAATCCATATGCGGAAAAAAAGGGCACTTCAGGAAATAACTGGTCACCCTAGTATTGCCTGCCTGCTAGAGAAGGGGCAATGGATATCCCATAGGAGTCCATACGCCTGATGCCGCCCCGCATGCCCGCCATACGTCCAACGTTCACTACCAGCTCACCCTTGGCCATCCAGTCCCTAGCACGTTGGCCCACCTTGAACTTAGGGGTTTATATTCGGAGTTTGCCGTCTCCTATATAGACTGCTGTCCAAAGCTAACGGGTTCCACTGACAGCATACAAAGCATGAGTAAACCAAGTAAAACATTTACGGTGTTTGGTTTGATCATTGCAAACAACTAAATTGTTTTGCTTCAGTCGAAAAATGACCATGAAGAGAAATACAATACACTGCCAAAAACAGTCAGCAGCCACGTAGAAACTACTTATTTCATTGGCTACAGACAAACAGTTCATCAAGCAGTTTCTTATAGCGGCTTCAGATTCCTGCAATGTCGGCTCATCTTCCATGCAGCAAGGTATGCAATTACAATTTCTCAACACAAAAAATGTTTGCTATTCATTATTGTAATTATGTTCATGATTTTGTCAACAAATGTCTGTTTCAGCTCCCTCAGGGATACCTGTTTCCACTTACCCTGGACATTTCGTAGCAAGCCAGCTGATGACTGCACAACAGCAGCAAGTGAGGGTTCCCCCTGTCTGTTTCTTAGTTAGTTTTTTGATTCTTTAATTTTTTTCCAAAACTTTTTTTTTTTTTTTTTTTTTTTTTGAATGGGATTAATTTTAAGCTGCATATTAAAATTATTTTTTTAAATGCAACTTTCAGTTACTTTATATTTCTCCAGAAGTTCTCAACATTTCCCACCAGATTTAAGAGTAAAAAAATAATAGTAAGAAGAGATTTATAAATGGAGTTTGTCATGCCAACACACGCTGGCTTTTCATTACTGTGTCATGTTGGTGGTATAAGAAATAAACAACTAGACAGCTTAGCATTCACCAACTGTAAACTCTGGCAGAAAGTTCTGGTGGTGTGTCCACTTCTGGACATCCAGTCTACAGATGTGGCTTATTGCAATGCATACTATGGGATTCCTTGCCTCTCAGGCTTATGCATTCTAACTTAGTCGCCTTGTATAACATTTCTGTGTCTAGAGGGCGAGGAGGGGCAGTGGATCCATTCTTATTCTACCAGAATGGTGTCTTGGATCCCAAAGGTCGGGATGAATTAATTCTGGACAAGATAGATGTAGTCATAGATGTAGGCAAGGCCCTTTTGGAGCATGTGAACAAAGGTAATTAACTAACAGATCATCACAGTCTAGAATGAATGATGTAAAAGATGTGTGCAGAGGAAAGACAAGATGAACATATAATCAGACTACAGTTAGCACAGTTCATTACGAAACAAAAAATGTTAAAGAACATTTATGGGATGTCTCAAGTGCTTTATTTTTGTTTCTTTAGTTTTTAATGATTAGTTTTATTGTTCATAATGAATTAACTTTTTGAAATTAAAATTTAAAAAAATTAATTTAACTTTATATTTATTTGCCCAGAATGCTATTTTATTTCCCATCAGATTTAAAAGAAAAAGAAATATTGACAATAACAGATCAGTAAATAAACAGTAAATGAGGTCTGTCAAGCTCACTTATTTTTGTGAAAATGTTTACGTGTATCAAAAATAATGACAGTAACTGTAGTTACCAAGCTTATTCTATCAGGCAATCAATTAGCCTACATATAAGGCAGGTTTCATCATGATAGCATATAGTATTGTAAGCCTAAATGCATAAGTTGTCATATTTCATAGGAAAATGGTGTGTCCTCTTCCATTTTAAGGTTGACTCACATATTGTTATTAACACATTATATTTGTCTCTATTGCAAAATGGTTAAACTACCTCATGTTCTGAAATTATTGGATTCATTTAATGACTACCATACAGTTCAAAAGTGTATTTTTTCTAAGATCCCATTAGATAGTCCCCATGGCTTTGGAGTTTGTGCTTTGTGTGACACTGCTGAGATTGATTAAGCTATATAGGATAAAACATAGTGCAATGAAGCTGATCCTCTCATGTTGAAATTGGTTTCAGTAACAAAGCTAGCATGGATTTATTTCTCTGTTTTATTTTCAAGGCGCCAAAACCATCGTTCACGCCCATGAGGCTGCACCATAGACCTGCAGCACAGAATGCATTTCCTGGACAATCAGACCACAGTAAGTCAAATTCCTGATTTTAACTTCACATTCTTATCCATTTATAAGTGAACACTAATAATAACCTGCTGACAAATTGGTTGTAAACCGTTGCACTGGGTGATGATTTGTTTGCTTGACTCCCTGTATGGGTTCTGAGATACCATTGTGGGAATAAAGAAAAAGAAGAATAGACCCACAGTATCACTAACAAGCTTGTATAAAAGTGATAAGGAGTATTTCCTCCAAAGTCAGAGTGCATCTGCCTGAGACATGCTGGGGCATATATGGAGAGAGTGATAGACAACAGAGAGACAAAAATGGGTGTGCAAATTAGTTGAATGGTAATGGGCCACGAGACAGACCAAGAAGACTCAGAAGAGATAAATATAGACAGACCTACAGATACCTACTGGAAAAACAGACCCCATTATTTTTGAAGGAAAGTGAATTTGAATGGTGTGGTCTTTGATCCCCAGTGCAAACACAATTGTTTCTGATTGTGTATGGCATAACTGATAAACCAGGCATATAAAAGGGATCCTAAAAACTTGCCTAGGACAGGCTAAGAGGCAAAAGCATTTTTATCCAGATTATTTCAGTGACCTAATTATAATTGATTTTGCAGATGATATAGCACTCCTATCACATAAACATGAACATATACAAGAAAAAAGTAAACAGCAGAAATTGTGGGACTGAGAATAAATACAAAGAAAACTAAGATTATGACAAGCAGTCCAAACCAACAACCAGTGACCATAAATAACCAAACTCTTCAAAATGTAGAACATTTCACATATCTTGGGAGTGTTGTGTCCCTGCCGCGAGGGACCAAAGAGAACATACAGTCACGTCTGAGCAAAGCTAGAGCTGCTTTTGGAAGGATGAGGCAAATCTGGAAATCCAACAATTACTGCAGAGGAACGAAACTCCGACTCTACAAGAGCATCATTTTGCCAGTTCTTCTTTATGGAGCGGAATGCTGGAGAATGACCAAAAAGGATGGACACAAGCTGTCTACCTTCCACCACACATGTCTACGTAGAATTATCAAAATTTTCTGGCCAGATACAATATCAAACACTAAACTACTTCAAGTCACAAACCAAGAAACTTTGACAATATGATAACCAAGAGAAGATGGAAATGGCTTGGCCACGTTTTGAGAATGAATCCTGATATACCTGCCAAAACAGCTCTCAAATGGACACCAGAGGGAAAGAGAAAACAGGGGCGCCCAAAAATAACATGGAGAAGAACGATGGAAAGTGACCTGAGTGCAGCATCTTTGACATGGAAAACTGCACTGAAGATTGCACAGGACAGGAAAGCATGGACAGTCCTCTCTGAAGCCTCATGTGCCACTAGGCACAACAAGAACTGATAAAATAATTCTAAGTGACCGACATTTCACAACCATACCTGTACAACAGTGGTTAACATTTAATGATCTTTAGTATAATCACACAGGCTGTCATGTGGGAGACCCGAGTTAAACCCTTGATAAGATGATGGAGTTTGTCTATTTAGGGCTAAACTAAACATCCTAACCTTTAAAGTCTGTGGCGACAGCACTTGCCGTGTGGCCACAAATCCTCAGGCTCTTGACCCAATGTCAACACTGCCCTAAAAAGTGGTACATACACACAGTAGTGACAGTTTTAGTTACAATATAATCATAGGTGATATTGAGAATAATTTTAAATGGCTACATTTTTCATATACTCTTCATATAAATTGGACGATCACAGTGTTTTGTACATATTTAATTTTAAAAATATATTTAATAATACATTCATTATATGTTGAACTAAGAATCGACATTATAGCACTTGGGACACACTTAATAGCGCTCCAACCCCATCTTTAGCAGCAAAAAAAAACATCCTAACCTTTAAAGTCTGTGGCGACAGCACTTGCCGTGTGGCCACAAATCCTCAGGCTCTTGACCCAATGTCAACACTGCCCTAAAAAGTGGTACATACACACAGTAGTGACAGTTTTAGTTACAATATAATCATAGGTGATATTGAGAATAATTTTAAATGGCTACATTTTTCATATACTCTTCATATAAATTGGACGATCACAGTGTTTTGTACATATTTAATTTTAAAAATATATTTAATAATACATTCATTATATGTTGAACTAAGAATCGACATCATAGCACTTGGGACACACTTAATAGCGCTCCAATCCCATCTTTAGCAGCAAAAAAAAAAAAAGAGTTCCAACTCTGATGGCGCCAGTAACTGTCTTATTGTAAATCAGCCTCGCCCTTCCTTTAAGTACTCAGCGTCAGCCAGATTCCCTGGTAACTCCCCGCAGTGCCATTCTCCTCAGACTGTAATGATTTATTTGCGCTTCTGCACTGTTCACTCACTTCCTCACAACATCTAGCTTGTCATACATCAGTTCACCCCCATGTGGTGCAGAACTGGCCAGTCTATCTGCCTGCTCATTTCCCAACACACCGGCATGACCTGGAGAAAATATCCAAAGGATGTTAACTACCTGGGACCTCTGAAGTGATGCTTGCCACTCTGCATGGAACATACGCGTGCATTCATTATATTTACATAGAAAATTCTACTAATAATGATATTGTATGTTGATAATTGCACCTAAGGATGCATTTAACAAATTTTAATTTCAGGATCACAAAGTATACACAGTCCACCTCACTATCGAATGGGAGGAGAAGCAAGTGGAACTCCTCGCTCTTCACACAGTACTCCAGATCCTGCCCGCCCAGCAAGTGCCGGGATGTATGATGGAAATGGGCGCCACGACAAGTAAGTTTGGCCTTTTAGCATAGTACAGAAAAGACTGCAAGAATTAAGAGTTAAGATCGGCACAGCCAGGCACGAGAAGCACACCATATGCAGGAGAAGTCTTGTCAACCAACATAGGACTGGGACCATCAACTGCAGGATGTATATGTTGAAGGGGAATTCTGAGCCCCCTATGGATGTGTCGGGAGTGCCGTGAAGATAACCTAAATAATAACAGAAAATTTCATTTAAAAAAGAAAAGGAAAAATAAAGACAAAATTGTTATAGGAAATTTTTTGATGGAGCATTAGGCATTTACAGCGTTAGGAAGGGATCACTTCCTGCTGACTGGTTGTACTGTTACTTCAAACCTCTACCTAAACCTGGCAAGGACCACACTAGGATGAATCGCTGTAGGATTATTAACTAGCAAAATACGATAGGTAAACTCACTGAAAAGATTATGGCATGCAGACTATCCTGGATTGTAAAGACTGTACATAATGTGATCAGACTTACAAAATATAAACTATTCAGTGGCACAGGGGAAGCCATGGTAGCAAAGTGGCTAGATGCTCCCCTGCTGGACTGAATGTCTTGGGGTTGACTCTCCATCTAGTCAGTTTATTTTTTCCCCTTTTCAGAACTGACATTAGCTTTAACAGTGTGGAACTGAACCCATGACCTTCAGTCCGAAAGCTGAGAATATAGCCCTTACACCACAATAAAAATACAGTAGCAGTATAATATAGCAGAGAGTAGGCTAGAAGGTTAACATTCTAGCAAAATTTAGATATAAAAAATACCCTAGGTAGTTGCTCATTTACCTTGAGAAGGATTTGTCTGAAGTGCAGGCCAGATACAAACAAGCCGGATATGCCAGTGTTCTATAAATACTAAATTTCTACTTGAGTTATATTATTAAAAACATTCTTTTTATACCAAACCTGCTCTTTTTCATATTTACCAAACTCTTGGTAGAGGCCAGTACTTTATAGATGTTTCTTCTTTATTGTATTATACATTTTAAAAATGTATTATGGAAAAAGGAAGAATAAAATAAAACGTATTGTTTACATTTTAAGATAAAATGTGTAATGCCTAACAGGAATAATAATATAACACAACAAAAGCAACAACTTATTAAAGTAAATTATTCCTTATGTTACTGAGAATTTGTGTGTGTGTGTGTGTGTGTGTGTGTGTGTGTGTGTGTGTGCGTGCCTGCGTGCGTGTGTGCGTGCTTTTTTTTTTAACCAGGCTAGATCATATGGAGTTAGATAATCGTAAGCTGGATAATCAAGGTTCTGTTGTAGTGTATTTTCTCAAAATATATAAAGATATATGAAGGGAGTTATCAGTAAACACAAACACAGTGAAGCATTAATAAGAATACCCCCCCCCCCCCTTTCCCAAACTAAAAAACAATATGCATCATATGACTAATCCTGTCAACTCTATTACTGAGGCTTGTGGGAACATTTTAGTTTAAAAAAAAAATAAACTGTGGTTCTCAAGGAAGCACCCTTAATACAATTTTTAGTAGTTAAATTAATATCCCTACCTCCTAAATGCTGCACAGGTGTAAACTGAGACAATAGCATTAACTATCTGTTTTGAGATTTAATCCAACTGGAGGTATTCGTTTTGCAACTTCTCAGGGCTAAAGAAAAATCCTTATTCAGGAAAACCCTCAGGGCTAAAGAAAAACCCTTATTCAGGAAAACCCTATTAGTTACTTACATTTTAGGACATACTTAGTCTTTCTTCCCCTCTTCTCCCATGATGACTTTCTGGAACCCACACAGGTAAGTTACCTCTTAGAAGGTAAATCCTATACACTCAGACACACTAACTTCTGAATTAGAAGTGTACATAAGAATACACACACAAATGTAAATGCATTTTGAGCTTATTCTGTTTGTTTTACAGTCATCCATTTTAACACTCTATTGTCCCCAGTGAAGGTGGCTCTGCAATGATGGATATTAAAAAAGAGAAAGGTGGGATTTCCCCCAACTGTGTCGTCATGTCTGCAGGCTTACAGTCAGGCAGAACGTCTATATTCCCATCTCCTCAGGTAAGTTGATAGGAACCAAATAGCATGTTACAGTGAATATAGAATGCTTAAAATACTGAGCATCTGAGTTAGTTTTTTATTTATTCTATAATACATGTATAGCAGAATCATAAAAATGTTGATTTAAGAATCGACATAACAGCGCTCGGGACACTCCCATAAGCGCTCCGTCCCCATCTTCAGCAGCAAGCGAAGGGTTAAAATTCCAATGGTACCAGCAACAATCTGATTGTATATCCGTCTCGCCCCTCCCCCGAGCGTCGGCCAGATCCCCTCGTAACTCCCGCAGTGCCATTCTCCTCAGACCGTAATGATCTATCTGTTCCTCGGCACTGTTCACTCACTCCAAAAGGGCCCTCACAACATCCAGCTTGTCATATATCCGTTCACCACCAAGTTGTGCAGAACTGGCCAGTCTATCCGCCTACTCTTTTCCCAACACACCGTCGTAGGCTGGAGAAAATATCCAAAGGATGCTAACTACCCGGGACCTCTGGAGTGATGCTTGCCACTCTGCACGGAGCATGCCTGTCTTCACCTTTCTCAGCATGCTCTGTGAGTCAGTTACAATGAAGACGTGTGTACAGCTGATTCTCAAGCCAACGGAAAGCAACAGTAACTGTCTCCACCTCCATTCTCAAACTAGATGTTGTGATATTATATGCCAGGCTTTGTTACGCCAAGCGACGTCCATTTGCCTTCGCTATGAACTCCCATGCACTTCGTCTGCCTCTCACCACAGAGCCATCTGTATATACAATCACATCACTTGGGTGGGAATTATCATGAATCATTTGTTTTGATTCTGCAGCACCAGCTGGCCAGTCCCTGCATTCACGTCCCAAAGTTATTAGGACCCTACACAAGTCTGAAACATGATCAGACACTTTGACCCACTCCTCTCCTCAGAGGAGAATCATAGAATGTGGTAAGGCAACCTCAAAACTTGATGCTATAGCAAGGCAAGTGAGGTCCTTAGTTTATACTTGGTTGGCAGCTGGTAACAGAGGGAAGCTCCATCAGGTGGACAGAGCATTGCTCTTCTGATCCTGCATCTTCTACAGCACGCTTTATTTCAGTCTTATTATGAAACGTTTCTTTCAGACTTAGCAGTAAGGTAGCTATAATTTGCCATTTTGCTCTGATATCCTCAAAAAGTCAGAAAGAACTACAAGAAATTATAGAATGGGCCTCAGTTTGAATAATAGGAAGACAGAAGTAATGGTGGTATCAAAGAAACGAATTATTCCTAAATGTGTAATAAAAGTCAATGCTGTTATTTTGGGACAAGTACAGAAATTTAAGTATCTGGACACATGGATAACATCAGATGGAAGATGCATTACTGAGATAAGAAACAGAATAGGACTGGCAAAAACTGCATTTAAAAAAAAATTAAGAACATCTTATGCAATATATCTTTGGCATTGAGAGTTAGAAAAATAATTCTTGCTTGCTACATATTTCCAGTTTCAACATATGGCTGTGAATCGTGGGCAATCGGTAGGCAGGCCAAACAATTTCTTGAGGCTTCAAAAATGTAGTTTTACAGAAGAAGGCTTAGAATACATTGGACAGCCAAAAAGAGTAACCAAGAGGTTTTGAAAGAGGCGGGAGCCCGAAGACAACGTATCACAGACATCAGAAGGATGTTATGAGAAGAGGGAAAATAGAACAGTGTTGTGACCACTGGAAAGATCTGCGAAAGGAAGGATAGAGGAAAACAATGAGAGAAGATTCTTGACAGTCATGCTGCATGGCATGTAGGTGCTTCAGCACATAACTAATACATGCTGGAGATCGCAGATTGTGGAGAGGCATGATCGGCCACGCCGGTCGGCAAGGAATCTGATGATGATCCTCAGGGAGTGAGGAGGCGCTGCAAAATGGAAGAATTATGTCAACCCTAGTTAACAAAGCAGGTCCAGGAAGGGATCATGCAGAATGGGCAACATGTGGTCTCCAAAATACTGACGGAGGTCTTATCTTTCAAAATGTTAGTTAAACCAATGCACTTTTAAGGTTTGAATAATTCTGTAATAGGATAATGTTTATCTTCATTTGCTTGTGTGGATTTGAATGTCATTAAATGTTTTTGTTTTTATCTGGGTTTTTTTTAGAAACCATCTGAAACTGTTTTGGTAAGTGAATTTACTCTTCAATTTAAGTAGAAGTTGTTTGATTATCTAGAGATAAATTTGAATCTGAGTTGAGAGGTTAATCATCATGTTGGATGCTGCAAGCAAGGAGATTCCTCTGTCACAATCTCCTTTCTGTGTTTTTCTTTATACAGCTGATTGATCATCTTCTAAATCATTTAGCAACCCATCTAGCATCTTCTAGTGTTATCTTCTTTGACTACATCTCATCCAGCTCTTCTTTTCCATGTTGTCAGATTTTTTTCAACTTCCTTTAACTTCAATCCATAAAAAACTATATTTTTGTCCCTTGTTTGTCTTGTATATTTTCCTGATGTATCACTTGATCATTTGTTCTTTTCTCTGTATAATTCTATGCATTTTCAAATGGATCACATCTCAGCCTGTATGTTGTGTGTCAGCAATATGACCCAAAATCCTCAGGCTTAAGACTTCCTTACCCTCCACTGCCCTAAAAATGGGTAAATAGACAGTAAAGATGGTATGCAGTGCTCATAAATTCACATGTGCACTGTAGTATAATTAATGTGATTGTTTGTGTGCGTGCGTGTATGTGTGTGTGGCTGAGTTGATGGCTATATGGTGTTGCGTTTTTCCCCTTGCTGGTTTAGATCAGATATTACTGAAACCTCTCCACCCGTTTCATTGTTTCTCTATTTGCTCTATTGTAAACTTGGGATAAATTAAATGTCTTGGTCCTGGCCATAATTTACTAATTATTTTTGTTGAGCATGTCTGTTATAAGCAATATCCTTGCTAAATGGCCTGGAGTTTGTTCCTCCATAATTTCTGTCCTTGTGCATTTTCAGTTATTGTTTGAATTCTTTCACTTTTTTTCCACCATTTATAGCCATTAACGCTATGTCAGTATAATAATTATTATTTAGGTGCATCTACTGATTTTTATTACGAAACTTGGAGTAGATGGATGTTGAGGTTAAAAATAGGATACAGGCATCAAGAAAATAAACAATTTAAAAAACAAATCTAAATTAAATTAATCTTACATTTAATAAATCGACATACTTTGATTAAATTTATGTGATCTTGCAATTGACAGTCAGAATTTTATTTCTTTTTTGCGTGTAATTGGTGATGTATGTGTTAAACATAATTTCCACCATTATTGATGTCGCTATTTTGATTGTTGAGGATGGTAAGTTAAAATCAGCTGTCATAGCACTTGCTAGTACGTGCTAGATTTCTCCCCTTGTCTTCTAAAGATAAATATTAATTTTTCTGTCAATGAATAGAACCTTTGCTTTAAAAAAAAATTAAACAGTGTTCTAAACCAGCAGACACACACTGTTTCACTTTTGATAAACTTATAACAGGGACAGTTATCATCCACACACTTCAGCTTCTGCATTTACATGATTCTGCTTCATAAATTGGTAATGAAATAATCCTAATATTCTTCTTCCAAGTCTTGATATTCCTTTGACCTAATTTTCCAAGGAAATGCAGCGAAATCTTGATGAAGTTCTTCGGGCTGTTCCTATGGACCTTAGCGACAACATGGAGCAGATAACAGGATCCAAACTCAGGACTGGCATGGATTTGGAACACCTGAGATCCCCAACACTTCCAGCAGGGTCCTTGAATGATCATGATACACTTTGTGAAGGTATGACTTGCCTGGATGTCATTTTTCATTTACATACACACGTACTTTCACCCATCCATCCATGCGTGATATCTATAGTGTGCATCTGTGCATACACAGAACCCCTCCCCCCATGAATTGTCACTTTTGCATGTTTTAAGAACTTTTATCAGCCCTTACTATACAGTTTTGTCTTCTTTGTTTTACAAGTGCAATTTACTTTCATGCATTTTTGAATGTATTATTTGTTTTTGGAATTCATTATTATTTTCCACCAACACTCATCTGTATATCTTATAAAATAATAGATGACAACCAGATTAAAATTATGATACATGTCGTAATTGTAACGGACTCTGAAAGCATGCTGAAAAAGGTGGAGACAGGATTGCTTGGAACAGAGTGGCAAGCTTCACTTGCAAGGTCACGGGTAGTGAGCATACTTTAGATCTTTTCTCCAGGCTATACCGGCATGGTGGGAAATGAACAGGCAGACAGATTGGCTGGATCTGCACCGCTGGGTGGTGAATTGATACATGACAAGGCAGACTGGTCAGAGCCTTTTGGGAACAAGTAACAAAGCCAGAAAAGAAACTATGGGCTGAAGAGAATGATGCACCTGGGTATGACCAGAGGTTTCAGCAGGCACACTATGCACAGAGGAAAAGCAAGACAGACATACAACCAGACAACTAGCACCATTAGTATTATAACTCTGCACTGGCTGCTGAGGATCGGGACGGAGCACATATGGGAATGCCCCGAGTACTGTGATGTCAATTCTTGACTCAACTCAACATAATGGCACAAGATAATGATTTTGATGATGCATATTGTGTAGATATCTTCTCCTACTTCTTTGTAGTCACTGGCTGTAAACTCCGGCAGAAAGGTCTGGTTCTTCATCTACCTCTAGACTTTGGTCTTGTACTAGAACATGAGTGCCATGAGGGCATCCATGTTACAGATCCGCCTCATTTATACGCAGACTATTAGTTCCTTGTCTCCCAGGCAAATGCACTCTGATTTCAAAGCAAGTCCCCAATTAGTCAACTCATTTTTAATTAGTTGTGTATCCTTTACAGCACTTTGCATAACCAACCCCAGCACTTTCCGGCTGTTGAGGTTTTTCTAGGCAAATTTACATCCAGTAGTTTGCCATAGCTTTCTGGACGGTCGGCTCTCAGTACCATGGTCGAAACCATCACAAGACAAACCCTCTGCAGCAGGGATTGAACCCGGCACCCCGACATTACTAAGGCGTTAGCAGCACCTAAGCCACAGACGCCGACAGTCAACTCAAGTGATATGCTTTTTTGGGGAGGCAGTGGGTCTATTCTTGTTTTCCCCAAAATTATTTTATTTGCAATATTGGAACAATATATGCCAGTTTTTGTTCAAATTTATCTGTCTGTAGAAAATTTAATTTTGCGTCCCCTTGTGGGACACATTTTTTGTTATTTGAAGCCCAACCCTGGTTGTTGCTGGGGGCCCTAACCTTACAGTTGAACAGGGTTTCTGGGACCTCTCTCCACAGGTGATCCTCATCCAAATGGTGGTACTTTTTGTCACTGGGTGTTTATTGCTCAGTGCGATGTCCTGGTGGTGTAAAAAGTCATAGCAAATTTGTCATTGTCATAAGCTTATTGCAGTTGGTCATATACTCATTAAAGGATATCCTTTGGGGTTCTTGTTCTAGTTATTGTTATCTATGAAACAATCCTGCAGAGCCACAGTCTCCATCAGATGAAGAGCTGAGAGAGAACTGGCAGGGAGGTAACAGCATGCCAGGGTTTTCCTTGTCTCAAGTGGACATCCAGGGAGATCATAACGATGACTACTGTGCCTGTTGCCACAATGGTGGTGATGTCTTGTGCTGTGACCAGTGCCCGAAGGTTTTCCACTTACAGTGTCACATACCGGAGTTAACCGCAGTGCCAAGGTAGGTCAGAAACATTTTGTTGTTTTTGCTACATATTAGTTTACCTCTATTCTGAGCAGGCACCGGTCAATGAACACCTGCCATCTGCTAGTAATTTCCTCAACTTTTCTCCATGTTTGCGCTCCATACAACAGCACCAACCCGACATTAGAAATAAAAACACTGAGTTTAGTATTAGTTTATACTTCCCTTGACCTTCAGAAATTTACTAGTGCCACAAAAGCTCCTCTTGCCTCCTGTACTCACATCCAACATCTCCATCAGTTCCCCCATCCACACCACTGCCCAAACAGGTGTAAAACTCCACATGTTGGAGTGGGATACGTCTAAGAGAAACTACATTATTATTTGCCTGTTTTATTCTCACTATCCTTGTCCCTTCCCTTTGGACTCTTAGACCTAACTGTTTTGATCCTCTGTCAAGTATATTTAGTGTATCTTGCTTCTGATTCTGTGAATGGGACAGATAAGAAATATCAACAGCAAAGTCCGGATCATCAGGCTACTTTGTAGGGGTCCACTGAATTCCATTCTTGGTGTTAGCAGTTGCTGTCTTCATAATCCAGTCACACATGTTTTTATTTCAGATGTATCATGAAGAACTTGACATTTCATATCTTTGTGTGTTGCCTTTACTATGTGAATAATTTTCTGTGGGATTCCATAGTGTCCCATTAATTTCTAGAGAGATTCCCTACCGGTGCTGTCAAAAGCTTTTTCCTTGTCTGTGAATCCATTGTAAAGGTGTAAATTCAGTTTAAAGTTTTGCTTTATTGTTGTACGTAATGCGGCTGTCTGGTCAGTACAGGAGCTGTTTGGCTGAAAATCTGCCTATCTCTTAGCTTTTTACCAATAGCATCTTTTAATCTTTCCAAATTATCCTACTTGTTTCCAGGAATTGACAGCAACATAATTTGTCAATAGTTTTCACACTCTGTAGATCTCCTTTTGTGTGTGTGTTGCAGACAGTTTCACAAGATATCCTTCTCTCAGCTGCTGGTATTTCTTTGGTCTCCCTGACTTTACTAAATAATTTGTGTAGCAATTCCATTGATGTGTTTATGTTGGCCCTAATAGCTTCTGCTGGGATACCATCTTGACCTGCTGCTTTTCCTCCTTCAAAAGATTGATAACTTTTCTAATTTCCTCTCTTGATGGTATCTCACAGTTGGTATCCAGTTCCATTTCTAAAGGCTGGATATCTGGAAATCTCTGGGGCTGGTCTATTTAAAAATATTCCAAAATATTCAGCCCACCTGTCCATTTGTTCTTTAGTGTTGGTGAGTACCTTTCCTTGATTATTTTTTATTGATTCAGTATATTACCTACTGATTTCCTTGTGTTTCAATAAGGTCTCTGAAGTTTCTTTTGGCTGCTGCTGTCTCCACTTCTACTTCTAAATATTTTCTTTTTTTCTGCCCTTTTTTGCCCCCTATCTTCCTTATTAGCTTCTGTGTATTTTTCATGAGCTCTAGCTTTGCTATTTTTTAAGTCTGCCTCCCCCCCCCCCCCCCCTTTCTTCTATCATTTTAATGGTTTCTAGTGTTAACCACACATTATGTTTACGTTCTTTATTACCACGGATTTCTACACAAAATTAATTCCAGATTCCTTTGATCTGATCCCAGCAGACATCAATGTTTGCTTCTTCAGCTAACTGCTGCAACACCTGGTCTTATTAGAAACCGATTTATTCGAACATCAAAAAAGTGTTTCAAATTCACTTTCTCCTCCCTTCTTCTCTCTCTGTCTCTCTGTCTCACTCACTCACTCACTCAGTCACTAACTCATCACTCACTCACCCACCCACAATCCTTTTGGGGTTCAGAGATAACAGTGATGTTTACAATTTAATTTCAGTGGCTCTTTTGTGTGTACAGTATGTGAAGGTGACTGTCCGGTGAGCAGTGAAGAAATAGTCAACTCTGAAAAGCAAAATTCAGCACGAGGGATGTCAGACCATGAGCACAAAGTGAGTCTTTCCTCAACTCTTTTTTATCCCAAGCAGTCACCATACCTGGCTGTCTGTTCTTCATGTGTATCAGTCAGTGTGGGAGTTGCAATACTGTAGAGCAGGACTATTTAACTAAGTTTACTTGCAATCCACAATGTTGAAAATGTGGATCGTTGCAGGCCAGTGGCTAAAGTCCAAGTGTGGAAAGTTTATATATTTACACACACACACATGCACGCGCACACACACTATACAATACAGTTGAAAAAATTCAATGCGTAACTTTAATATACTCACAAATTGTTACTTCTAGCCTTAGGGCCTAACCTACTGTAATATAAATAAATGAAACAGTGATATAAACCATTATAATGTAAAATGTACTTCAAGCTTTTGTAGTGATTAATTTATACTAACTTTTAATAAAATTATACCTATTTCCAACTTGTTGTTGGAATTATAAATACACGTTAGCATTGTCACTTCAATTGTTATTATCATATTAATAATAACTGTCCACAGTTGTTTCATATGGCTTTGTGCAGAAGAAACTTAAAAGTTATAATGATGCAAAAATTTCATTAATGGGAAAAGTTGCATTTCTGTTTGTTCGGCTAGTTTTATAAAACTTGGCTGGTTTAAAGTCAGAGCAATACTCACACAATCCTGGCAGTAAAATCTTCTGGTTACGACTTTCCTAAATCTGTGTGTTTTATTGTAAACTGCCGCTTCACGTTGTATTCTTTACTGCCTACAAACATTTATTGCATAGCAAACACACTGGTTTTGAATTAGGCATAGTCGATGCTAGAAAAAAATAGTTCAGTGTCCAGTCATTGTTGAATGCCAGTTTTCACATTCACACTTACCTTTCTTACTTGTACTTGCGATGGTATCAAGTATTTAACTAAACTATTAAAATTTAGATAATTTAAAACACTGTTGCTGTTTCAGTTTGTTAGTAAACAATCGTGTCCGGCAGTCTATGGTCAGGTTCTGACTTGTGTGTGACTGGACGTTGACGAAAATCCGATTATAATCTGATCACTAGCATGTGTTCTGTGGTGTCTAGTGTCACTAGTGTTCTGCAGCATCCATCCATCACCCAGTGCCATTAGTTTGTGTCTATCAGAGGCAACCATTTGGGAAGTTTCTCTGAAATCTAAGCTCTAATTATCAGGACCTTGCTGGTATTTTCATACACCCTCCTATCCAATAAATATCTCATCTTCATTGACTGTCTTGTTAAGTGGTTGCTTTCATACCGGTTACTTGATTTTTTTTTCTATTTTATCTTATTACCTTTGGCCTCCAAAAGGTGAGTTTTCAGAACTATTTGAACTAATTTTGACCTATACTTGAAACATATCCACCAGTTGTGGTATTTTCTGTTCCTATGCTGGTTTGGGTTCTCTTACATTTGTACATTTACAAATTCCTGATAAACATTTCCTGTTGACACATTTGTTACAATTGGTTTTTGAAGATTTATACAAAATACATTGATGGATGTTTTAATATTTACATTTCACTGTTTTGGCAATGATCAGGGGGCCAATTGCTAGGCTTCAGTGGGCCAAATCTGGCCCGCGGGCTGCCAGTTGAATAGCCCAGCTGTAGAGGCTAGACACTTGCCTGAATACTGAAGACATTTTACCACATATTTTCACAAACAGATTGGTAAATGTTGAATATTTAAACAAAACATTATTCATGCTTCTTCACTGGGATTATTGGCTTACACCCCCCCCCCCCCCCTTTTTTTTTTTCCCCTCACATTTTTGTGCAAAATCTTCTGGACTGCACAAAACAATTTCTTTTTTTTTTTTTTTTTTTCAACTTAGGTTTGTGACAGGATATTGCTGGAGCTGTTTTGTCACCCATCAAGTCTTCCATTTCAAGAGCCAGTGAATAGAGAGGTGAGACTTGTACCTTGCATGACTAGCGATATCTTTTTCTTCTTACTTTATATTCACAGTTGGCACTTTATGTTGTGGTTTGCAGCTAGACTGCATTATCTGTGCCTTTTGGCCCAACACTTCTGATTTCAGCCAACCCTGACAGCTTGCCTTTTATGGCATGCTTGTTTGTTGTTGAGGCGGGGGTACTGACTTGTTTCAGTACGTTCATACATAAAAATGGCAAAATATTATGTACATCATGAGTCATGAGTAGAAATGGACATTATGTACATCATGAGTCATAAGTAGAAATGGACAGAGCATCACTTAACAAGACACTGAAATGTGAAACTAGTGGATTGAAGAACCAAGGACGCCCAAGTGAAATCTTGAAACGAACATTGTTGAGGGAAGACAAAGGAGCTGGACTGGATGCCACCCATGATAGAAAGGATTGAGCAGGATCAAATGGAGGACTAGACTGTGATTAGAAAGGATTATCATCACAGCACTCCGGACAGATCCATTGCTGCTCTGATCTCCTGCTCAAAAGCTCCACAAGCGTAAAACGACTGATGACGCCTGTTCTGTGTTGGTTATTGAAACATCTTGTCCTCTTAGTGAAATGTTCATTTCTTGCAGCTCCAGGCTGCACCCCCATATCCATAAGTCTAGACAGGGATATGGAGTCATGTCCTTTGGCGTGCTCCTCCGTACGGTAAGTGTAGCGCATAGCATTGATAAAATCACTTCTGTCCAGTACTGGGCTAGCCATAGCAACTGCAGTGTCAGCAAGTGTGAGCCTTGTGTGGTGTAAAATGGCACAAAAGGATGATGAAAATGTTTGACTTCATTGACATCTTGTAAGGGAGTTGCCGTGGCAGAGTGGCTAGACGCTTGCCGAGGATCGGAAGGTCATGGGTTCGCTCCCTGGTGGAGCTGGACTTTTTTCAAAAATGACCTTGGCCACCAGGTCGACCCAGCCTTGAGTGGGAACCGGGGTGGGCCATCCCAGGAAGTAAAGGCGGTCTGCGTGATGCTGACCTCATCACCCATCTTGTGCCGATTGGTCTATAAAATATAGGTCTAGCCCTATATGCCCTATATGCCTAAAAGCGTGGAAAAGGGTAGTTTATTTTTTTTAAATAATTTTTTTATCATGAAAAAAAGTAAAGGGCCCTCTCTGATGCCTTCCTATGTCAACAACATTAAAAACTGCAAGTAATTAAAAAATAAAGAGGTGTATCAGGCATGATAAATTCATTTCTTCTTCTTCTTCTGTCTTTCTAAACCCTAATGGAGCATAGGCCTTCAACCAACTCAATGCAAGTCGTTCCATCTTTCACTATTGCTTGTAACTCTCTTGCCTGTCCTCTCCATTTTTTTAACTTCACTCTCTAGCTCCCTTCTCCATGTGTTTTTTGTCGTCCTTTATTTCTGTGTCCCAGTGGGTTCCAGTGCAAAGACATTCTAGTTATACTGTGCTCAGGTTAATTCAGAAACAAAGACTGATACACTTGGGCCACCTAATGAGAATTTATCAGTATCAAATAATTCTGGCAGCCGGTCATACAGCATACAAGTTTACACATCAAGAAGCACAGGGTCATTTAGAAGAAGATGGGTTGAAGGAGTCACTGACAGCCTTCACAACATCACAGCATGCCGGACACGGGAGTGCATCCTGGCTCGGCTGTCAATCAAAATTAAACTGCAATGCCTGGTGGCACAAAGCAGATATCCTTTAAAAAAAATGCCATTGTTTTCACACCTTCAGCTAAATTGGGCACTTAGGGCTAGACCTATATTTTCAAGACCATTCGGCACACACACACACACACACGCATGCATGTACCCACACCCAGAGAGAGAATAAATTAATAAGAATACATTAATTAATAATCTGGATTCTAATTTTATATGTTTTAGTCCCCAACATCAAGAATATCATTGTCTGAATGTAATTGTTTTCGTTTTAATGCATTCATTTTTATTTTCTGTGTTTATTTAAAATCTCTATCCACATTTCTCTGCTTCAGCAAGTTCCAAACTACTACAGAATCATCACACAGCCAATGGATTTCACACAGATCAAACATAAACTTCAACACAGCCACCCCAACCATTATAAGAGCATCAGAAGTTTCCTGTATGATTTAAGACAGGTCTTTGTCAACTGTGCTATCTACAACAAGGTAGGCAAATTATGGTTCATTTTTACTGACCACCAGCATCTTTTTGTATTTTAGAAGTGGCCTACCTCATGATATATGCCAGCTCAGCTTTCTTGTATAGACATATTTTGTCTCTGTTATCTGCCATTCTCCAAATTTTGTTTGTTTGAGATACAAACAGTGGAAAATAGATCTCATTCCAGAGAAACTGTTAGAATATCATAACAGAGCACCATTTTTATTGGTAACTAAAAAGGACTTCTGAAAACAGTTAGCATCTTCACAGAAATTAACTTTATATAACACTCAGTTTGCCTGTAATTGCATAGCCTGTGCTCCCAAATAATAAAGGAGTCACACTAGACCTAACTGAAAATGAAAAATATTGCCTTTTTCACTAATATGTATTCTCTTTCACACAAAAATCTGTGTAAAGCACCACTGGTTAGTGACATCAGGAGGGCTAATCTTTACCAACAGATCTGCACTTCCACATGTGGGTTATGGGGCTCCATTTTGGAGAACAAAGAATAGACCCCCTGCTGCCTAAACAAACATGTCTTAGTAAAGTAAGTAAAGGATTCTTTTCTACGTCTTTAGGCATATAGGGCTAGACCCAGTCGGCACAGGATGGGTGATGTGGTCAGCATCACGCTGGCTGCCTTTACTTCTAGGCACTGCACCCGGTACCCACTCAAGGCTGGGTCGACTTGGGAGCCAAGGTCATTTTTGAAAAATGTCCGGCTCCACCAGGAGCAAACCCCTGACCTTCCAATCCGCAGGCAAGCGTCGAGCCACTCCACCACGACGACTCCCGTCTTAGTAGGCAAAGCAGGAGTGTTTCTTTCAAATTCATCTGCCTGAGAGGCAAGTAACCAACAGTCTGCATACAAATTAGCCAAATTTGTAATATGGATTTTGTCTGTTTTGGTAGCTTTTTGATTGATTTAATTATTCTCTTTGTTTGTTGATAACAGACTATTGTGTTAGGCGGTTCTTCATTTGCACCTTCCTTAACTAGTTTATCAGCTCTTCATTTCTGGGAACTCCACTGTAGGATGGTATCCATTGCATAGTTACCTTACATCAGTTGCCTAGTTTGGAGGGTAGTTTCCGGATATCAGGTAATTTTCCAGATTCGAGTGCCTGAAGTACCGCTCTTGCATCTGTTAAATTACAATATTTTATCTTTTGTTTCTCTAAATTATTTTATTTTTTATTGCAGACTGGATCAGAGGTCGGCAAGGCAGGAAAAATTGTGCGTGCCATGTTTGAGTCTCTTGTGGAGCGACTGATACCACAGTATCTGAGTTTTACCAAGGAAAACCCTACACCCTGCTTCAGTGCTTTACAGCAGCTGCAGTTAGACTCAGATAGTTCATGTGGGGACAAAAACAGTTTCGGGGAGAGCTCACCCAAACGTATGAAGATTGAGGAGGATAAGCAAGCTCATAGGGCAATGTATGAATAGAGTATCTATGGAAAGGTTTGTATTAAAGAGCATTGTGAGGTATTATTTATAGCTGGAAAGAAGATTGAGAGAAAGAAAAACCCATCTCAAAACAATGCAATGTATGAGTGTCATCATCATGTAGCAGGTCCTTTGTTGAACATTGCACTCAACACAGCAATTGTGACAGCTACTAAGTCTCTTGTCAACTTTCTCACCTCACCGACTTTCATGTGGCATTTAATTTGACATAACTGTTTTTAAGTGTCAATATAATATAGATATAACAATTTTTTTTTTAAATTAGCTGTGTCAACTGTTTTTTCTAGCTGCCAGTTTGGGAAATATTTTGACAGTTAAAAAAAAAAATATATGGCAACAATCAAAGTGACACATTAGATTGCGGATAATAATCTTCTTCTTCTTCTTCTTCGCGTTCACCACCTGTAAACTCTGGCGGACAGTTCTGGTTGTTCATCCACTTCTGGACTGCAGTCCAGTTCCAGAACCTGAGTGTTGCGTGTGCATCCATTTTTACAGATCTGACTTATTTGTATGCAGACTACTGGTTCCTTGCCTCTCAGGCAGATGCACTCCGACTTCGAAGGAAGCTCCCAATTAGTCAACTCTTACGACATTCTTTTGGGTAGGCGGTAGGTCTATCCTTGTTTTCCCTATAATAGGGCCCAGAACCCACACGGGGATTTCCCTATAATAGGGCCCAGAACCCACACGGGGATTTCCCTATAATAGGGCCCAGAACCCACACGGGGAGACTGGATAATAATGCAGTTTGTTACTTTCTTCATCTGTAGAAATTTGTGAGCTGGTTCTTGTGTATGATCGGGGGAAATAAGTTCTTAATAAAACTGTTTAGAATTTTTATGTACGATGTGAAATGAAATTCTTAATAAATAATGAGTTGATTAAACCAGCTGCACAGTGACAGGGTGACAAACTCTTTGTGGTCCGAGTTCATGCTCAGGGGTAGGCAGGAAAGCCATATATTTCCCTGATACTTTTACACCAGTGGCACATTGGGCATACGATGCTGGACTCTTTTCTATAGACCAGTGGGCACTGTGGGTTATGTGATCAGCTGTATGCTGGCCACATTTACTTCACGGGACATTACCTGGTACTCTTTTGGGTCCACGATCAGTTTTGAATGTCTTTGCAGTCTAAGGTAAATCTGCATGTCTTTTTATGGGGGAAGGGGGTGGTTATCATTGATTTATTTCCATATGCTCAATTTTCTTTCAAGAATTAAATACTGCACATACACAATCAAAGGACTCTGAAATAACTTTATTAACAGTATTCACATATTATGTAAACAAATCTTCTTTCGTTCCATTAAAATAGATTATCTATATCTCAAATGCTGTCCCTAGTATGAACTTTTCTGTCTTATGTAATTCTCTTGGTCACCTGTAAAGTTTGGCTTGCACCAGTATTTATTTTGGCCAGAAGTTTTGACTTGATATTTTGTATTTTGGGACAGTCTTAGGAGATGTAATCTGTTTTCTCAGGTGCGGATCCACTTGGCTGATTCCACCAATCTTAAATTTTATGTACATTTGGCTGCAAAGTTGACAGCGTCCTGTTCTGAGGTATAGAATAAGGACTTGCTCTGGTCTGTAAACAGCTTAAAATGAGTGCCAGAATGTATGTCCTGGGAAAGTAAAGACTGCTGGCGTAGTGCTGACCACATTACCTACCTAGTGCCGATTGGTCTGTAAAAATATGGGGTGCTCTTCCCATATGCCAGTTGCGCCTAAAGGCGTGAAAAGGGATCTTTACTTTGTTTTACTGGTCTGTAAACAAATGTAAAAGGCATGGCCAGTTTTCCCTAATGTGTTTGCATGAGTAGGTTTGATGATATATGTTGATGTTAGAGATGGTGTGTGTTTTCATGTAGACATATGAGTGTGTGAATAGTGAATGTGTAAATGAGCCTGTGTGTGGATATGCATATTTGTATATTGGAATGTATGTTGTTGCCTTCTATTCTTTTGTATTTATTTTTAAACCATAGACTCATATTATGTATTTTGCTATATGAGCATGACATGATAAAAATACAGTTGATGTGTGAAAGATGAATGCCTGAAAGAGCTGAAGGCATGGTGGGTCTGTGTGCCTAATTTGTGACCCTTGAAAAAACAGTTTCTTTCATTTTTTTTTTACACCTTACTATTTTCTTTGATGTCATTGTGTGTATATACATATTATTTTGATATAGAACATTGAAGAATCTTTGTTAGTGTTTTGCACATTTCTTATCTTGCCCGCTGAATAAATCAAAAGATTTGAAAATAGGGGCTGACTGCAAGCAAGCTAAATGAATTATTTTGTCTTCTTCTAAAAACATGTGCCATTGGTAGTGTTCATCCACAGCCAACCCTGCAGTTGAGCCTCCTAGTCATAGCTTGTGCATGACTGAGAAAGAGATTTATCATTAAATATTAAACTCAGGAATTCCACAATGGAAGACAATAATGTTAACTGCTCTACTTCTGAACAACACTAAATATTTATCCATTTGTGTATATATATATATATATATATATATATATATATATATATATATATATATATATATATATATATATATATATATATATATATATATATATATATATATATATATACACACACACACACACACACACATACATACACAAACACACACATTCATTTCTCAGCTTGATCTTATATTTGCATTTGTTCATGTTTAGTCATTTCTTTATATACACAACCATTTTACACAAGTCACACACACAAAACCCATAACAATCGCTTCATTTTTGAATTACGAGTCAGACTCACAATGCCTAAGCCACGGGTGCTGCCTATGTTGATGTAACTCTGTAGTAATGCACCTGATGAGATACAGCGAATTATGCCTGGCAATTGTGTGTGTCTGCATTTTTAAAATTCATAACAATTCCATGTAAAGACCAAAACAATGTTTACTTGCATGCAAAATAATGATAGAAGCTACCAATAAACATGAATGGGGCAGAGAATTGACTGGCTTACACCTCTCTGAGCTATAAAAATCTTTAGCCTGACCTATTCTTGACGCAGTGACTTGCCCCCCCCCCCCCCCCCCCCCCCCCCCCCCCCCCCCCCAGTTACCACTTTAACTAATAGAAAATTATGATGTCCTAATTTATATAGATAAAACCAGTTTTTGCAAGGAAAGCCCACCTAAATATTATTTAAAGCATCTATGCTAATAACTATGTAGGTAGCTAGGCTAACTCCAGTATAGCTCTTTCAATTTCATTGAGAAAACACAAGCTCACCCACCATGGCAAGGTGGAGACACCTTTTTGCTTTTTAAACAGCTTCAACATAATTCATTCCTGAACAATATATTCCCTTTTATTCTTGTAGACTTTGCAGAAGTAATACTCAAGTATGCCAGTAATCACAGTGATGCAATAATCAGTTACTTTAAAAGAAAAATAGTGCTGCATATTAACAGTTGTAAGAGAAAGATGGTGATGACATCTTAAGCACATGCTGGGTGAGAGACAGAAAGAATCACAGAAGAAAAATGGATTACAAAGCAAGGGCATCCAAGAGAAACTTTCAAATGTCTGAGAAGCTGGACTAGATATCACACACAAAAGATTTGCACAAGAATTGAAAGGGGGGAAGCAAACTATGCGCCTTTTTTGACAAGTACAAGCATAACAGTGTAATAAATGAGTGAATTTTAACATATCTAGCCATATTTCTTTAGTATCTTCAAGCCAAACATGAGAGATATTTTTCAGGTCATCTGCTACTTGATACACACAGATGATAATTATCACACATATTGCTTTGTTTGAGACACAAGATAGTTGATGAGTTTTAAAACAATGATATGCAATTATACCTCTTGGATAAATGTTTAACTTATGATTATAGTGTGAAATGAAATGTAAAACCCACATTTCATCTTATGTGTTTATGTCTGATTTTATAGATGTAACATAAAGATGTGATATTTGTGTGCAAGAATCAAAGTCACTTAAGTGGAGTTTTGGTGATTTTTCACCGAAGTGCATTTCAGTGCTGTTAAAATATGTAAAAAGGAGATAGGCCAAACTGAAGTACACTGAAACTTCTACTAACCATCACTGTTCGGACCAGGGCTGTGATGGATAACAGTGATCTTTTAATACACATGTATGTACGGTAACATGATTTCACTGTGGTCTTGAGAAGAAAATGAAATTAAAATCCTTTGAAAGTGAATAATGCATACATATTGTATTTAATTTTACAAAATGATCTGTATAAACTTCATTATTGGAGTAGTAATGCACTGAAATGTATTGTAATGGTCCAAACCTTAGTTACTTTAAAATAATCTTTCATCTCCTTCAAAAATTACTCAGTGGAACTGTTTTAAAAATGTGTGTCTGTTTTGTTGATACTTTCACAATTTTTTTTTAAAGACCGTGATGGATAACAGAAACTGAAAGTTAAACGAGTGATGGTTATACAAAGTTTTACTGCATTAGCTTTCTTGATTCTATACAATTTTGTATTTATCACTCAATGGTCAAACACAGTTTTCTTGAAACAAAGATACAGCAGTTAGCTGATTTTGATTCAGGTCTAATGACATTAGCTGTTCATTTTCGGGTATTATTTATTTGTGCAGTAGCAATGCATGATCCTAATCTTCTTCCAAGAATGTAATAATTTATTGTTTAGCTACATGTTTATTTTTCTCTTAAATATTTTGTTTGTATCTGTTTTATTTACATACTTCTGTGAATGATGCAACACTTTAAATAAAATTAGAATTTTATCTGAGTTTTCATTTTGCTAAAATATCGATTAGGACAAGAACTGCATTTTATGAAATGAAGATAATTTGTAATAAAAAAAATATATTGTGTGTTCTCAGCAAGAGAGGGTAAAGCAATGAAGTCATGCACTCAGACACCTTGTGTTCTCAGCAAGAGAGGGCAAAGCAATGGAGTCGTGCATTCAGACACCTTGTGTTCTCA